AGGGGGGAGGAGAGGATGGGGGATGGGGAGGAAGGAGGGGGGAGGGGGAGGGAGAGCAGTAGTGCTCTTGTCTGGTTTTCTCATTCTTTTTTATCTGACTTCTATCATCCTTATCTCTCTTCCTTCTGTCCAATGTATGCTACTCTTTAGTGACGCCTCCAATCTTTGGCACTTCTGACCTATTTGTGTCTCAAACTGCCATAAAACTCAGCTAAGAAATGGCAGTTCTTTTCGTAGAATTTAGTGCTTCGCTTGTGTTTTGTAGAGCCAATATTTTTTTTGGATGTAGAGCCAATATTTTTCTTTGCATAGGCAATCCTTAATGGTGGGTGCTTGGCGGGCGCTCTGGTGTGGTTTGCTTCTTCTTTCCTATCAAACATCTATCGTCCTTATCTCTCCTCCTTCTTTTTTATGTTTGTTACTCTCTTGTAACATCTCTAATCTTCTGGCGCTCATATGACCGTATGCTGTTGCGAGCGCCATAGAACCTCTAGTAAAACTAAACTAAAATCCCTAATGCTTTGCTTGTCTGTTCTCCCCAGAGATGTAAAACCAGACAACATGCTGCTGGATGCAAACGGTCACCTCAAGCTCACGGACTTTGGAACCTGTATGAGAATGGACAGGGTGCGCTAAACTGGAACATCTTTGTGATCTGTAAACGTAGATTCTTGTCAGATTTCTATATGTCAGAGATTGTGACTCTTCTAGTTGTCGGTTTCTCTGACATTTATGTGGGTGGTTGGAGGGTGCTGTGGTGTGGTCTGCTTCTTCTTTCCTATCAAACATCTATCGTTCTTATCTCTCCTCCTTCTCTTTTTGCGTTTGTTTCTCTCTTGTAACACCTCTAATCTTTGGCTTTTGTATGACCTTATTGTGTTGCAAGTGCCGTAAAACACTTAATAGAAATAAAAGAATCTGACATTTATGATGTTATAACGTTTGTTGTCCTGAGTTTTAAAAAAGGTGGCGAGCCTGAACCTGTACTGAGTGGTCATATTATAACCGTATGCTTTTGCGGGTGCTGTAAAACTTTTACCAAACTGTACATATACAACTTGGCGTTTGTTTCCCCTCCCCCGCCGGCAGGATGGCCTGGTGCACTCGGACACGGCGGTGGGCACGCCCGACTACATCTCCCCGGAGGTGCTCAAGTCGCAGGGAGGGGAGGGCTGCTATGGCCGTGAGTGCGACTGGTGGTCCGTGGGCGTCTTCCTCTATGAGATGCTTGTTGGTGAGTCATGAGTGGATGTTTCTTATGTGGGTGCTCGGTGGGTGTCTCTTATGTAGGTGGTCCGTGAGTGTCTTCATCTGTGAGATGCTTGTTGGTGAGTTTTTTCTTGTCCTCATCCTCCTCCTCTTCTTCCCCCTCCTCTGCTTTTTCCTCTTCCTCCCTTTACTCTTCCTCTCTCTTGTCTTTCTCCTCCTTGTCATCGTTCTCCTCCTGTGACAGATGGTCCATGGGTGTGTTCCTCTACGAGATGCTTGTTGGTGAGTCGTGAATGGATGTTTATGTGGGTGGTCAGTGGGTGTCTTCCTGTACGAAATGCCTATAGGTGAGTCGTGAATGGATGTCTCTCATGTGGGTGGTCCGTGGGTGTCTTCCTCTCCGAGATGCTTGTTGGTGAGTTCTTCCTTGCCCTCATCCTCCTTTTCTTCCCTATCGCCTTCCTCCCTTTATTCTTCCTTCCTCTTGTCTTTCTCCTCCTTGTCGCCGTTCTCTTCCTCCTGTGACAGGTGGTCGGTGGGTATCTTCCTCTACGAGATGCTTGTTGGTGAGTTGATCTTTGTCCTCATACTCCTCCTCTTCCTCCTCCACTTCCTCCTGTGATTCTTCCTCTTCCTCCGCTTACTCTTCCTCCTTCTTGTCTTTCTCCTCCTCATCGTTCTTCCTCTACAAGATTTCATTATTGTTTTTATTTCAAATCTTTTAAAACATTAACATTTCACAGTACTTTTTATTACTCTCGTTTTCCAGGTGATACTCCTTTCTATGCCGATTCTTTGGTGGGAACATATGGTAAAATCATGGATCACAAGCGATCGTTGAACTTCCCAACAGACGTAGAGATGTCGGACAAAGCCAAAAGTCTTATATGTGCCTTTCTCACCGATAGGTAAGTCTGCCTTGTGGATGTGATGCATTGTGACAAGCCTGGCACATTCAGTGGAAAGACCCTCGGCGACATTTTGGAGAGAGCAACAGAGCATTAATGGACATATCCGGAGAAATAATGAACAAAGATAAGCCTGCTGGATCCTCAAGATATTTTGAATTTTATGTAATACATTGATAAGCATACTATATGGTGAAAGATAATTATGTCTATAATATTTGTATATGTTATGTTTAAAATATCTGCATGTTTTTTTCAAGAAGGAAAACAATTTCTATCTACAGGACGGAGAGACTGGGAAGAAATGGTGTAGATGAAATAAAGAGACATCCCTTTTTCAAAAATGACACTTGGAACTGGGAAAATATTCGCCAAAGTAAGTGTGATCTTTTTTGGTGGTTGAAACACCTCTGTTTGAAATTGATGATTGTCGAATTTCTGAAGATCCCCTAAAGATGCTCCATCTTCGGGACTGTAATGTTAGTGTGGTAATAAGGGAGAAGGGCCTGGTTTGGTTTGTTAATGAATAATAATAATAATACTCGTAGTACAGGGAAGTTCGCACATTACGAAAGAATTTCCATATTGCGCTGATTTGGCTATGTGCATGCTAGACTGTATGTCAACTGTTTTAAACTAATGAATGTTGTTGGTGGGTGGATGGCGGGTGCTCTGGTGTGGTTTGCTCCTTCTTTTCTATCAAACATCTATCATCTGTATTTCTCCTCTTTCTTTTTTTGTGTATGTTACTCTCTTGTAACACATCTATTCTTCGGCACTTATATGACCGTATTGTGTTGCAAGTGCCGTAAAACTAAACTAATGAATGTTGTTAGTGGGTAGATGGCGGGTGCTCTGGTTTGGTTTGCTCCTTCTTTACTAACAAACATCTATCTTTCCTTTTAAAAAAAAAGTATTACTCTCAAGTAACATCTCTAATCTTTGGCACTCGTATGACCTACTTAAGCTCTAAAACTGTCTAAAACAAAAAAAACGTTGTTCCCCTGGTCAGCTGTGCCCCCGGTTGTGCCTGAGCTGTCCAGCGATGTGGACACCAGTAACTTTGACGATATCGAGAAGGACGAGGCCCCAGAGGAAACTTTCCAGCCCTCCAAGGCCTTCGCCGGCAACCACCTGCCCTTTATCGGATTCACCTACAGCCGAAACTACAAGTAAGCAAGGAGATTGTGGGTGGTAGGCGGGTGCTTCGGTGTAGTTTGTTCCTTCTTTCCTATCAAACATAATCTATCATTCTTATTCTCTCCTCCTACTGTTCTTTGTGTGTTACTCTCTACAACAAATGTTTTTAATATTTGGCATTTATTTTACCCAATTGTGTTGCAAGTACCGTATAAAACTTTTAATAAAAGTAGACATCAGTTAAGTTCCCAAGTGGGAAATGTTGTTTTTACTATCGACCTCTGTCTGAAAGGAAGTTTTATCAAATTCTGACAGGGTTGTCAGGCAAAGTAGGAAAAACCTGCCCTTTAAATGATCTGAATTGTGTGGATGGGGGGTGTAAGTATATGTATAATTTTTTAAAAAGTTTTTCTCTCTTTGACCATCCAAGATTTATTATCTGGGGATGGGGAAGTGTGTGTGTTGTCGGATAGAATGTTTTAAGGTCTTAAAAGAATATTTTGTATTGTTCATATCGCAGTTGCTTTTTCCTTTTCCTTTTTTTTTCTCAAGAAACTTGAAGAATGTGTTACTGCAGTTTTGATTAGCTAACGAGTTACATGTCGACATACACTTCAATCCATTTCTGCTTGATGCTGAGTCCTTCCAACCGGCATCTGTGGTTTTGCGGCTAGGCGTTTCACTGTTGCACGCAGGAGACCTGAATTTGATTCTCAAGTAGGGCAGGGAGGAAAATTTTATGGAGTATCTCGGTCTTTCTTCTTGAATGTATCCCTCTCAGACTGGGTTGGTGGCAGGGTAAGCCCACCTCTGGAATGATCTAAATTGTGTAAATTGGGACTTTAAACATCAACATTTGATTTTTAAAAAAATTAAAAATAATCCAAGAGATGATCCTTGATAACGTTGCTCATGAGTTTATTTTGGTTTTTTTTCTCTTTTCACAGTTTACAGAATAGCTTCCGAGGTTCAGGATCTCAGCCGCCCTCACAAAGAGTGAGTTCATGTTGTTTGTGTTTGCTTAACGTGTTAGACGATAAGGAGTCTAGCTATTAAATAATGGATCTCATCTGTACGATAATCAGTCAGATTTGTCGATTCGAGTTTGGGCCAGATTTTTTTTATGGATGAGCGAAAATTACCATTAAAATGTAAAGCAAAATCACTGCAAAATTTTGGAATTAGATAAAAGATGTTTATTGATGCTGTTGAAGACATGAGCAACTCCTATGTGTTTTTTAACTCATCATTCGAAGAGTGATCAAAGTGAGCTGTTTGGACTTCTTTTGGTTGCAACAGTATGTGTGTTAGTGGGTGATTTCCGGTATTCTGGTGTGGTTTGCTCTTTCTTTCCTGTCTTGCAACTATCGTCATCATTTCTAGTCCTTCTTTTCTTTGTACATTATTCTCTAGTAACACGTCTTATCTTTGTCATCCCCCCGGGGCAGTGCCACTGACTGGAGTGTCTTTAGGCCATTCTCAAAGGGGGGACATTTCTCGTTCAAGCATATTATTAGAATTGTAAATGGGCTGACTCATGTCACGCTCATAACTGCCTGATCTACAACAGGGAACTGCTGCTTTTTCTTTCTTTATCCTTACTATTGTCATTTTCCTCTACTTCTTTTGTATGTTTGTCACTTGCTTGTGACCTGCTATTTTGGGGTGCCTTGATAGTCGAAGCAGACCTTGTACTGTTGAAGCTAGAGAGGTGATTCCCTGTAAAGACTTCTCTGTTGACACCCACCCCTTGGCCCTCATATGACCTTATGCAGTTGCGAGTGCCGTAAAACCCTCTACTATTAAAAAAAACTATATCTTTTTCACTTATATGACCTACAACGCTTACTGAAACTAAATCTAATGAAGTAGCCACAAATGATCTTGTGTGTGTTGAAAGAGGTGTAAAACATTACACTAATAATTTGTTTCCAGATAAGTCCGGGAGGAGGTGGGGTGGACGACGCGACCCGCAGGAACCTTGAGGAGCAGGTGCGGCTAGAGCGGGCGGGCAAGGACGACATGGAGAAGAAGTACAAGTGAGTGGAAGAAAAGGACTTTTCCTTTCTCCCCCCTCCTTAAAATATGTGTCACAACATAGTGGAATCAGCCACCCGTCAATTTTTGGGTGTATGGCGTTATTGGTATCATCTTAAAGCCTGTTTATTTGCCTTGCTTTTTTGGGTGTGTCCGGTGGGTGGAGGGAGAGGGAGAGGGGCTCGATTCGTGAAGAAGTTTCTGTCACTTTTTTTCGCACTGCCTTACTTTTAAGTGAATTTTTTTTTTAGCACAGAAGTTCATGTTTGTATTTCTCCAAAAATAAGGTTAATTTGCTTCTTTTGGATTTAGGATCTAGAGATGGAGAGTTAGTCCTTTAATTTAATTAGCTAGCAACAAGCCAGAATGCGTCATACTAAACTTCATCAATAGCAATTTTTGAAAATTCAAATCAGGTCCACGTTAGAGGAGATAGATCGGTTAACGCAGGAGGAGTCCACACTGAAGAGAGACTACATGGAGTTGGAGCGGAGCATTGCACTCATCAAGCATGACCTGAAGGAGGTAAGTCAGTGCATGGACAAATACAGCTACTGGCCCGAGCACTCCTGTGTCCTCTACGCTTCACTTCATGTGTAGTCGTCCTGTTTGTTTGAGCAGTTTGTTGTCCTTTTTTTTTTCTCTTGCCATAAGGGTTCTTCTTCATGTATTTTTCTTCTTGGAAATAGTTTTTGTAAAAGGGATATGTAAGTGCATAAATCAGTATGCTAATGATTATCTTTGGAGATAGTGTATGTATCATGATGTAGTATTTATGATGTTCATTTCGAATAACATTTTTTCCTTCTTTTTTTTTCTCCAATTTTAAGCAGAACCTAAGAGAGATTTATAATTTTCCCTATAAAATCCTTATGCTAACTGAAAAAAAAAGCTACTAGGAGTGATGAATTTTGTATTATAAGAATGCTTGGTGCTTTCATCATGGAATTCACACCCATCATGCCTTTCCCCGGCTAACCGAGTGACTCTCTCTCTCTCTCTCTCTCCCTGTGCGTGTTGTCAGACCCAGCGCAAGCTGGAGATGGAGGCAGACAACAAGAAGAAGGTGGAGTACATGCTGAGGGACAAGGAGAAGCAGCTGGAGACGGAGATCAACGCCCGCCTACAGATGTCCACCTCCTCCGCTCACTCCAACGAGAAAATGACCAGTTTGGAAAAATCGGTATGTTCCATTTTGCAGATGTGTAACTGAGATTATATACTGGATAACCTGAGTTCCTTGCGCAAGGCATATACTTTTTCCAGAGGCCTTGTTTCTCACATGAAGGAGACTTACTTCTGCTAGTTCACTAAGTTCTCACTAGCCCAATGAATATACTTACTTTTTCTATGTCCCTATACATACACTTTTGAAACACATATACCTACTTTTTGTAGATCCCTAAATACACACTTGTCCAACATATAGATTTACTTTTTTAAGGTCTCAAGATACACACTTGAGTGACACATATCTTTACTTCTTCTATGTCCCTAAATACACACTTGTCTGACACATGCTTATTTCTGTTAAATCTCTTGTGTAATACATATGCTTACCTCTTCTTTGGTCCTAACTACACACTGGTCCCGTTGATGTGTTATTTTGTAGTTCTTGAAGGCACAACCACTCTAGAGAATTCAACATATCGATGTATAGAATGACAAACACACGTGTTAAGATTCTGCAGCTCAGGAAGCCATATTTATTCTTGTCTTTTTGTTATTGTAGCCAGGTACAACAAATACATGATATGCCAGTTAGGCTAATGATGGATATTATTATTATTACTCTGACAGATTGCATATCAACATGTCCGACACATGCATACATCTTTGTTAGATCTCTTGTAGAACACACATACCAACCCCTGTTAGTTTTAGATCTTTTGTATAACGCACACACATCTATTATATCTTTGGTATAACACGTATAAAATATACCTACTTGTTCCAGATCTCTTGTATAATGCACATACTTCTATTATATCTCTGGTATAACACACATATAACATATACCTACTGGTTCCAGATTTCGGAGCTGAATGAGAAGCTCCGTCTGGAGGTGGAGGTGAGCAACAAGCAGAAGAAGACGACCTCTGACCTCCAGCAGCGACTGGGCAGCCTGGAGCACAGCCACAGCGAGCTCAACAGTCGCTACCAGGAGATGCAGTCGCTCAAACAGAAGCTGCAGAACGACCTCTTCTCCACGCAGGCTACGCTCGACTCAGAGAGGAGCAACCGCTCGCAGGAGTCGATACACTCGCAGGAGCTCTCAGGTAAGATGGTTGACCTCTTCACTGCCGGGCCCATAGAATTATGGCCCTGAACGGTGTAGCGCTGTGCCTATGGCCCGTAGAATTTACGGGATTGTGACAGAGGTTGTTTTGATACCAATCATAAGGGGAGTTACTGCTAAAATCTTTTAATTATTATTGAGGTACCTTCCCTTTATGTTTACCTCCATTTCCCCCCCGTTTGAAAGCATCAGATTCAGATTTTAGCTTGAAGTGAAGATTAGGTCTAGATATATACATCTATGGCACAAAAATGATTTACTGGCAGTAGACACAGATGGGCTTACATGTATATATATGGATTGTACGAGCATTGTATAAGGTAGGATGGTAAAGAACTTTCAGTTGGGGCAGTTAAAAATTTGCAGGTTGGACAGGAGAAAACTTTGAAGGTGGACAATTAAAAAGTCTGAGAGGCATCCCAATATAGGGTCATAGATCATGATGGGGTACGCTTCTGTGAAATGGGGTACGCTTCGGTGAAATGTCCCATTATTTCAAACCCTCATTGCAGGCAGTATTGCATACAGATGTATCTCAAAGGCAGCCAAAATTGACTTAGTCTGTGTGGAATTATGCCCACGTCTTGATGTAAATTCCTGTACAAATAGTATTTAGTCTGAGAGAGGTTTCTTGAATTCTAGAATTCATGTAGCTGTGTGAAAAACTGACAAAATGTCCTTTATTTTTCTTGTCCAGAACGCATCTTGTCTTTGCAAGAGGAGCGGACGAGGTTCCAGGAACGAGAGAAAACTTTCTCCAAAGATATTCAAGCGACACAACAAAAAATATACCAATTGGAAAAAGTGAGTTGTTACCTTTTTCATGTTGAAGAAAGCTGCTCTTGTATTTTTTACTTGATTTAGGAAGAAAGGAAACGGTGGATCTGTTTTATAAGAGCTTCTGCAGTTGAAAGAAATGCTTCTTCTTAGGCAAGTTATTTATTAGAGAAAGCATTGTAAATTATGTTGCTTTGAGAGGCTGAAAGATTAAAGTTTAGGTTGCAGGTGAATTTAGGTTGTTCTGAGGTGCAAGCACTTGTGATATGAGGTTGATCATTTGCTGTAAAGGGTATGACTGTATAAGTTACTAGAATCTTCCTTATACCAAAGTGCATGGAACAAGATAGAAATGTGACAGTTTGTAAGTTCACTAAGCCTTTTACAAAACCATTGTTTTCTTCATCATCATGACAATAACAATAATTAAAACAATAATAATATTAATAATAGTAATAATAGTAGTAAAAGTAATAATGCTGATAGTTTCTAAATGCCCACTCCACTTCAAAACGTTTTGTATTAGAAGGCAAACCTGGGCAGAACGTCCTTCAGAAATGAAACTGTTTGGAACAGATATAAAACTCGAATGAACGTTGGTAGTGTTTAGTCAGTCTTGTGCACACACTCACACACACACACACACACGCGCACACACACACATGCTCACGCACGCACACACATGCTCACGCACACACACACACACACATGCACACACGCTCACACCCTCCTTATCACCCACCTACGCTCACACCCCCCACATCAGCCACACACGCTCACACCCTCCTCATCACCCACCTACGTTCACACCCCCCGCATCCCCCAAACACGCTCACACCCTCCTCATCACCCACCTACGCTCA